GAATAGATCAAGCAATAATGTCGATAATTCTGTCAAATACATATACTGAGCTTGAGAGTTACAAGCAAACAAACAAACATACATACATACATACACGTGAAGCTGATAAGAGCGTGTTTGAAAGGTAACTGTCATTGGGAACAATACAATGGTCGAAGAAAATTTACGGTGAATCCTGCCTTTCTCGAGTTATACGGGAAAAACCAAAAATGGTGTTTTTCGAATATCAAAAAATAGAAAAAAAATGTTATTGTATCCGAAGTGTACCTACTATGACGATGTACCTAATAATAAATATTCCATAAAACGTTTCTTATCAACATGGCCCCCATCAACTTTTTTTAAAATAAGGACCTGTCTTTTTTCATTACAGATATTGATAAAGCCATGAATTCACAATCCATTTGATTTTCTGATGGCGTTTCATTCGAAATAACCACCATCATCACTTAACAACAATTTCAAATTACGGTCCTGCCCTTACTTCTTTTGTAACCCAATAAATTCGACAGGAAGGTACCCTAACAGTATGAAATTTCGTTTTGTGAATTTTTGTATTGCCGTAATACTTCTTTCAAGGCTAATTTCTCCCTAATCAATTTCAATTCGTAATATTTTTATAATTCTCAATCCTGGAAGTACAGTCAATGACGAGTATTCTGTTAAAGTTATGTGCAGCTTGCGAGAAGCAATACGAAGAAAACGTCCGGTATTATAAAACAATTCATCACTTTAATGCACCTGCCCATTAGTCGTTGATTATTCGTATTTTGTTTGTCAAAAACAACACCGTCGTCATGCATCAGCCTCCATATTCACCAGATTTGGCCCCTATATTGGATAGACCCATGAGAAGACTGTTTCGTGGATTGGAAAAAACGCTGACTCAAGTGTATCATATTTGAGGGGGACTACTTTGAAGAGGACGAAGTAGAATTTGATGAATAAATAAATCAGAAAAATTAAAATTCACCTCATTTTCTCAACAGACCTCCATAGATTTTTCATATAACAGTTTCATTATCCCAATTCAATTCAAAATATACTTATTGTCTGAAGGTAAGTACATACCAACATTATTAAAAATACGTCGGACTTTGATGCTATTAATATCTGACGCGCTCGAGTATGTCCATGCAACAGTATTTTTTTACATATTTGAAAATCTATAGCCGCTTCCCCCACCGATGAAAAGGTAGGTGTATCTTATATAACATTTTTTTCTTCTTATCATGTAAGCTTTGCAACCTAATATGTCTCAATGAAGCTCGAGTAAATCCCCATTTTGCATCGTGGGCTCCCACGCTTTGAAGTGTAATCGTTTTACCAGCATTGCAGCGATGTTAGATTGTTTGCAGTGGGTGTCGGTGGAAAACAGATTTTATTAATCAACATTGATTTTTATTCATTAGATATTACATAAGCTACTTCCAGATTATCTAAGTGAATTTACTGCGATTAAATCTCAAATACATAATTATACTACTAGAGGAAATAATATGTTTCATCTCCCTAATTGGAAAATGGCAAACTCAATGAAATCGCTATTCTATAAAGGACTCGATGAGTTCAATANCAGGGATCAATTCATTATTAATTTCTATATTAATAGGAAACTGAAATCTAGCCCGATTATACATAGAACCAAATAACATTACTTTAGATTTAGCGCAATTTATTAGTAAACAATGTTCAGAAGCAAAATTAATGAACGTCGCCAGTTCCCTATTAATTATTTCAGAAGCATCATCTGCTAACTGCGGAGGAAAAGTGTGATAAATCTGTGTATCATCAGCATAGACATGAATCTTACATTGTTCTAAAGATTTTATTAAATTGATGGTATACACAGAAAAAAGTAAAGGGCCCAGGATTGAACCTTGAGGCACCCCCGAGTTCAATGTCATATATTCGGACTGATTTGATTCAATTTTTACACACTGTTTACGATTGTCTAAATAATTTTGTATAAGGCCAACAGCCGATTCTGAAAAACCTATATAGTGCAAAATATTAAGCAGTAATTTGAAGTTAATAGTGTCAAATGCTCTGCTGAAATCCAGCAGTACCAATATTGCACACAGACCTTTATCCATTGAGGCAATGATATCATCGACTATATTAAGTAAGGCTGTCGTACAGCTGTAGCCTTTACGAAAGCCAGATTGAACAACAGGCAATAGTGAGTGGTCGGCTAAATGCTGTCTTATCTCTACTTCAATGGATCTTTCTAGAATCTTGGAAAGCATGGGTAGGATATTTATTCCTCTAAGATCCTTGTATTCTGAAGGATTTTGTTTCTTGGATAGAACTTGAACCACTGCTCTTTTCCAAACAGTAGGGACAACACCCGTTGAAAGGCAGAAATTTATGATGTGTGTGATATATGGCACAATTAGAGGACAACAAAGTTTGATAAGTTTAACATTCAGTCCATCACAGCCCATTGCATTGGAATTAATTTTACAAATGCTGTCATATACAAAAGTGTCATTGACTTCCTTGAATTTAAAAGTGGAAGGAATAATATTGTTGGTGCTGTAAAAATTCATAAGATATTCAGGTGGAGCAACATTTGGAATGGAATTTATTGAAAATTTATTAATTTCACTTGGCTTCTTTAGATTTTCAGGAATTTCTTGATTTTTGTTTTTCAAGAAGTTATTTGTTCTCAGTGTTTGCCACAGCTTTTTTGAATCGGAATTCTCAAACTGATACAAAAAGTATACCCTTTTCTCCCTTTTTATTGCTTGGTTTGTATAATTCCTGAGATCATTATACAATTGAAAATGAGCGACTGACTTCTTCATCTATGAAGCTTCGGCCCTAAACATACTCTGAAACTACTGAAATCCACCCAGAAAAAAACCAACCGCCTAATTGGAGACGCGAACATCATTTACAACCTTGATAGTCTGGAACATCAAGGAAAGATTGGAGATTGGTTTGTCTATAAATAATTTCACGGAAAGTATTCAAATGACAAATTTAATTCCACCAAGAGCGGTACATATCAGAAATACGCAACGGAATGTGGCTGCACTCAGTACACACCAAGAATCACCTCAGACTTATATGATCATCACTACATTGACACCGTCTCACATCAAGGCTTGCCATTTAGTCAACTCAATATTGAATTCAAATTCACCTGAATAACATTTACATTTTTTTCAGGATTCCTTAATAACAAGAAGTTAACGAGCCTTAGGAAGATGAACTACTGGAATGTAATGGAATTTGTGTCAACGCTTGGTGAAACATATACTGAGGTAGTGTTGAGGAATCAAAACGTACAAAATCTCCTTAACTCTGGTGAGAAGTTTGATCTAGTTATAATGGAACATTTTTGGAACGAAGCGCTGGCAATATTTGCTCATCGTTTCAACTGTCCTCTGGTGTATTTTGCAACAGGACCCGTATCAATTTTCAATAGCCATCTGATTGCGAATCCAACTTATTCTTCGTATATTCCAAATTTTCTAACGACTCTTGGTTCCCAAATGAACTTCTTGGAGAGGTTGAAGAATTTATTTGTTAATATACTTTGTGTTACATACGCCGAGTTCAAATCAATTCCTAAACAGAACGCCTTATTGAAAGCAACATTTCCTGATTCTCCTAATCTCGAAAACATAGTATATAATGCAAGTTTGATGTTCGTCGTTTCACACATCAGTATCCATGATCCACTGCCACTCCAACCAAGTATTAAATATATAGGAGGACATCATGTGGGTCCTTTAAAAACATTACCTGAAAAAATCAAGCAATTCATGGAAAATGCTTCAGAAGGTGTGATTGTTTTTTCCTTGGGATCTATTTTGAGAAGCTGTGATTTGACTTTCCAACAAAAAGAAGTTATACTGAATGTGTTTTCGAAAATGAAACAAAAAATATTGTGGAAATATGAACGTGATCTTGATGGATTACCCAGAAATGTAATGATTTCAAACTGGCTGCCACAACAGGAAGTACTTGGTAAGGATTTCATTTTCATCNTTTAGTAGAAAAATGTTGATTATTGAAGTGAAAAGTGTCAAAGAAGGAGGAATAAGGTGTAAAGGTGGCCTAGTGAATAAATGCTTGTGTTTTTAAATAGTTTATTTTGTGAAAAAGAAGGCTGAAAAGTTGTCCTTTTCAGAACTTTGAAGGGCAGAAACTTTGTAAATAAGGGAGAGCGCCGCTTTTTTCTTTCGGATTCGTAATCTACGCATCAAAATACGTAATTACACGCGTACTTCTCAAAATCGCCGGGTGTCCTCAAAACTAAAATTTACCGAAACTTCTCCTCCTGATAATCGAAGGTGTTTCAAACACAAAACAGACGAAATCGTCCTCTGAAAATTGAGTGAAAATACTGACTATTTGCCCTTTTTTAAATCCTGCCTTTGCAGCGGTGGTTTCCTAAACTGTCTCAAAATACTTCGAACTTCACAGTATCAAAAAGGAACCACAGTTGGCTGAAAACTCGAAAATCCCTTCTAGGTATTTAACGAGCGAAATAATTCAACCAGGCAATCACTTCATTCAGCAATTCACTGTCGAATAATACGTTTCCGCAAAATTTACGTCACTATTATTATGTCCTTGTGTGTGAGGAAAAAAAGAACATAACCTCTTTACAGACCTAGATGGTGTCATAGGCGGGTTATAAAGGTTTCAAATATACATAAATGCGCATATGGAAATGAATGAACTATTCGATTATTAAAATTTTAAATAATATGTTCAATTCATGACAAAACAAAATCGTACCGTAACAATTTCAAACCAAGTTACTTGAAGACGTTTCGATTGTTAGTATCCACAATAGTCTTCAGGTGATGACTTCGGGTGATAACCACTCACCACCGATTATGAATATTAACAATCAAAACGTCGTCAAGTAACTTGGTTCACACATTTTTTTTTCAATTGTTTGTTCACTTTTATTTTCATTATTTTTCATTTCTTGTTACTCTGTTGTCACCTTTATCATGATTACTTTTTTAATCTCACTGTATTTCCATTTCACGTTCCATTGCTCAATATAATTGATATTTCAGTTATTCCTAATAATTTCATTTGTTCTTCCATAGATTCCAAATCATATTAGACAATAGAAGTCCGAACTAGTGAAATTCACCATGAAACATTGTCAACCACTTTAAAACAAATGATATGGAATCTATGAAAAAACAAATCAAATATCAATTATATTAGGCTACAAAAAAACGGTGGAATGAAAATACAATAAAACGAATGAAGTAATCCAGATGAAAATCTAAAATGACTAAAAATGAAAAAAAAATAAAAAAGATTTCAAAGTTATTTCACTACGTTAAGTATCCACAATCGGGTTGCGTATCTCTACGCTAGCTTGGCTGAATGCGTCGTTGAACAACATATACGCAGCTTCTTTGAACTTTCACTTGAACCAGTGTTTCTCCTTATGGATGATCTCAGCTTGGGAGAACTTGATGTTAGGTTGATGAGTCCAAACATGCTCTTCTATTAACGATTTGCTGGTTCCTCCTTTCTGTGTATTTCTCTTGTAATCGGCAATGTGGACTTTCAATGACCTCTCAGTTTCACCGTTAAAGGATTTGACTCACTCACAGGGTATTCGGTGAATGCAATTCTTGAAATAGCAATCCGCGTTTGATGGCCTTGTTTTTGTAAGGCTGATACGGAAGGTGTTTCAGGATGTGTAGCAGATTTTGATGTTATACTTGGACCCATTGTTTTTATCCTCTTCACGAATCCTCTGACGTAGAGAAAGACAAGCACTGGTTGCCTTGCGAGGCTCTTGCTGTCTTCTAGCCACCTCTTTACTGATATCATATACATGAACGCCCAAAGTTTGCTGCATAAAATTGACCAAGTTCGAATAAGCATTTTATATCACTCTCCAAAAATAATTCTAGTTAGTGCGGCTACAATAACTAGTGAAATTGAAGATTCAGAGAGATCAAACTGGATGGTTATAGTCACATTCGATGTGATTCTACAAATCGGCAAACCGGGGGTGTTGTGATTTATGTGAAGGATGGTATATCTATACAGTGTTCAACAAAGAAGAATTACATTTCAAAAGACGATTACTGGTGCAAGGTCATAAGAGTAAATTTTGGTGTGTGTCAATATGTGAAAAAAATCAAATATATGTTTTTGCAATATGGAATTGATCAACTAATACTGGATCCTACCAGAATTACTAATAACAGTAAGACTCTAATTGATTATGTAGGTACTAACTAATAATAATTGTGCAAACTGTTGTGTCCATCCTACTCCTAAAATAAGTGACCATTCATTGATATCTATTTGTCTCAAAAATAACAAACGAACTAAAAGCACTTCTATAAAAAATTGTAGAAACCTTAGTGAGCGATAAAATTTGGATAAAATAAAACTAGATTTAATTTCATGTGATTGGGATTTGAATTCATCCGATGTTAGTGTCATATATTTCAATTTACTTAATAACTGTCAATCAGTTATCGATAAAGTTGCACCAATTCAAGTCTGTCACTATAAAAGTAACATTCCATGGTTTGACAACGAAATTCCTAATAAANTTTATATAATTATTTTCAATTTCTATGTTAGTAATATGTTTTATATAATATTGTGTATTAGGATTACCTATTTCAATAAACATATTCTCCTTCTTCTTCTTCTTCTTTTTTTTGTTAACACTATAACAAAATATGAAGGTGGCAGGGTGTCTGATTAAAATGTTGACAGAAGTATACCGCCCCCTGCTCGAATTTTTCATTTAGTTTCCACTATTTTCTATAATTTCCGTCATTTCAAATATTTATTATGCCTTCAAAATATATTTTTCACTGTTTCGGGAAAGATAATAGATAATACGAAATATTGCTGAACTTTATTGCCGAAGTAACCGAGGTCATTTCACATAAACGCAGTTCTCCAAATGAAAGAGTTTTTAAACAGTTACGTTCGAGGTGTACTGAGTTGAACTTCAAAACGATGAGCTGCTACAGTCCGTAGCGTATGTCTGATATGTTCCAAGTCACTTGTACACTTTCCGTGAAAATATCTATAGAAGAGAGACAAATCTCCAACCTTTCTTCGATGTTCCAGACTATAGGGGTTGCAAGTGGTGTTCGTGTCTCCAATCAAGCGGGTGGCTCTTTTCTGGGTGGAATCCAGCAGTTTCAGGGTATGTTTAGGGGCGGAGCTCCATACTCTCTCCTCTATTCTTTATCTATTACTCTCTCACTCCGTCCCCACTCTAAATTCTGTTGCCATGACGCCATCACAGCTGATCACAGAGTTGCATGATAGCAAATAGCAGGACAGTAGGTGGGAAAAAATTAATGAATGTTACCGACAAATTACTCAATCCACGTAAAGATAGTAGTACTTCAAACTACCTGACATAGCATGAATACGCGGTTCGGAACCGTAATATTCAGTCATTCATGTTCATTAGATAACTGCTACTAAGAAAAACAGAATGTTTTTCGAATCAAATTATTACTATCTAGACATGGATGATTAAAAAAAAGTTTTCTGAATACTTTAATGTCCCAAACAAATTTTACCGGTAGTTTTCTATATGTGATAAGCCTGCTATTAGTGATAAGACATGAAAATTTTAACGAAGTGATTTACATTTCATTCACGACTCAACCAAATGAGTTTCATAACGAGGAATTTTACAGCCTAACCTATTCGATTACAAGGTTCAGTTCGAAATTAAAATAACGTTTCGCATAGTGGATAAAACCAACTACTTGTACTTAAGTACCATAGAGCTCTATAAAATATTTTCATTATATTCTGAAAAGATATAAGAAAAACACACTAAGCAAAACACTATTTTGGGATCAACAGAAAACTCAATCCATGATTCTCAGAAAGAAACAAGGCTGTAAACAATCAGATAATACTAGAGTCTAGAGAGAAAAAATACATGATCCAACACTTCGGTCTAAGTGAGTACCATCACTGGTGGTACCGCAATAGTACCACTAGTGGTGCTAGGCTGTATCATGCATGCTTTGCTGAATTAAAATGTATTCGAAGGTATGAATATACATACATGCATACATACATACAATTACAGTCGTAAACTACCGAAACCTTTAATATTTGGAAGGCTTCAATAGCTTGAACGATCATCAATATGACTTTCAGAAACGAAGATCAACAGGCGACCTTCTATCGTATGTCACCTGTATTTGCATTAAGACAATCTAAAAATATAGAGGAGCTGTTGCGCTCGATATTTCTAAGGCCTTTGACAGTGTGTGGCATGAGGGTTTGCTGGATAAACTTCGATGCTATGGCTCGACGAATCATTTTTGTGCATGGCTCTCCAGCTTCCTGAAAGAACGTTTTCTGCAAGTGGTCATCGACGGATATCTCTCTAATGCTTTCACCATCAACGGTGGTGTTCCCCACCGATCCATATTCTCTCCAACCCTCATTTGATTATTGAACTCATTGGAAAATACTGAGAATCCGATATATTGATTTAATAGCAGGACACTTGTCTCGTCATTCCATTTGGATTCCAGGACATCGGCTAAGGAGGCACATCTACACTAGCAGCAGGTGGTTGCGTAATTTCATGAAGATCTGAAGGTGATTCCGAATTGAGGTGGAAGTAACCAGGTTCAATCCAATACCACGGAAACACAGGCATCAGTTTCCCAAAAAAACAATGTCTCCGAAATGAATATGATAATGGCAGGACAGACAATTCCACTTCGATTTGTTTGTTGGGGGTTGAAATGGACACCAGTGTGTCTTGGCACAATCATGTCGCTGGAATCATAAAGGCTGCTTCTCAAAATCTTGGAACACTGTTCCGAAACAGAAAACTGTACACAGTATTGTTCTCATGCATGGAGCTCCTCCCCAAAACATACCCTGAAATTACTGGATTCCAACCAGAGAAGAGCCATCCGGCTGATTGGCGACGGTAACATGACGTGCAAACTTGATAGCCTGGAACATCG